TTTATCTATTCCATCATCAACCTGCTAAAATCATCACATTGCAATAATTTGTTATTTTTCTATGAATGCTTGGGGATGGAAGTAAATACAACCAGCTAGGAGTCAGCTGAAGGGCAACTTGAGCAGAATTTATCATTGCCCCTCTTCTAGGGCAATGAACATGTTTGTCCTTGAAGCTATAAAACAACAATGACGACGACAACAACAAAAACGATTTCAGCTGCTTGGGGGAGGAGGTGTTTAAGCTTTTCCATATCCTATAATAACGAAGTTTTTGGAGAAAGAGTTGAATGAGTGTGTAGTTTTGGTCATTTTATTTGTTCACATCTAAATATTTTTATGCCTTGAGTGAATAAAATGATTAATATGTGCTTCTTATTTCTGTGAAGTCTTTTAGAGGAGACTAATATGCAAATGTGAAAAGTACCTTCATTTGCATTTACTTTAGGACAAGCTAAATGCCTAAGTCCCCTTGCTTATGCTACTCAGTGATGTAGAGACCCATGGGGATGTGGTATGCTCCATTCAGTTCAACAATTTATGATATTTTGGGGTTGAAGTTAAAGTTGGGTTTGGGTTTGGAGCTTGCTTCCAAGAGTAAGAACCTGAGTTCAGATCTTCAGCTTCTACATAAAGCAGATACGGTAGCACTGGCTTATAATCCTAGAGCTCCTATGGCAAGATACAAGGTGGAGACAGATTACCCAGAAGGTGTGGGCCGCTAGCCTGGTGATATATCACTGAACAAGTAGAGACTGTGTCTCAAACAAGCTGGGTGCAAGACATTCAGGTTGTCTCTCGCAGTCACATATATATACACTTGTACACTTGTACACACACACACACACAGAAAGAGAGAGAAGCCCACACACATGCACACAGAGAGACACACACATACAGGTACACACACATGCCAATGTACACACATAGACACAGGCACACACACACACACAACACAATATTGGAGGATTCAGCTTGTACCTTTATACTGAGAAGACTGAAGATATTTGCTCATTAGTTTGTAAATGCTGCACAGTCAATTCTATGTATTTTTAAAAGAGTGCTATTGAAATATGTTTATCTTATGACAGTAATATAGTAATATAGATTAATATAATGACCTCAGGTAGTTACTTGAAGGTATGCAGTGATAATGAAAGAGAGCCATAGTTATTGTAATAAAAACCTTAGGAGTTATTTTCAATAACTGGTTTGCTATAATAATATAACTATATTATGTTTTTAATATATAAAACTGAACAGAGAGGAAAAGCTTTTTAATAAGCTTCTCTCCAGTTCCCTTTTCTCTATGCATCTCTATCCTACCTCATAGCAACTGTCATATATTTATAATACAAATTGTATTTATCCCTGATCATATATCATTATCATTTTCTTACTATTACTACATAGTTTATTTTTATTTTAATTTATTTTCTTATGTTTTTCACCTATACAATATTCTATTCGTTCAATGAGAATATTTTTCTTGGTCATTCTAATATGATGTATATTTTCTCAACTTCAAACATTTTTATTATAAATGAATACATGATAAGAATCTTCACATATACTTAGTTTTTAGGCATCTTTTTATGCTTGCTTCCCAGAGAAAGTTATCACTTGTAAATAAAAGAATTTAAATTTCTCTGACATTGCCTTTTTTCACAAGAGGGTGTATTGTATTAATAATGAATCTAGTATGGTAAGAAACAACTTTGGGAATCACTTAGTGTTCTCTTTAGCTCAGCAGCATGAATCATTTAAATATTATCAATAACAGAATAACTATATGTTGACCTCAGCTTTATCTATTCATATAGCAAATTGCATTAGAATGACAAATGTTGCTTGAGCAGCTGAAGGCAAGGTCTTTTCTGTTAGTTCTCCATGCTCTGATAAGTGGTCCCCTGTTACTTCTCATGTGGATCACAGAGATTGAGTTAATTATAGGCCTATCTTCTCATTCTAGCTGGAGATCCGCTCTTCAGTTCTCTTGCCTCTCTTAATGCCATTATATATCATCTCTTATGCCCTTTATTCAGTTTCAAGAAAGATAATGTCATAAGATACAGTATCTGCACATTTTTGAGCAGATTCATAGGAATGTCCCCATGAGAAGGATTTATACTTGAACACAGGTTTCATTTCCATTTTTTCTCCTTTTCATTTTTCTACTCCACTTTATTCCCTTTCTTCTTATTTTCATAAATACCTACCTGCTTCCTGACTTGCTGTGTTACTATTGAGGAGTGAATATTTCTCCTGTTCATGTCTATCTTTTAGCACCTCAGCACAGGAGGCCTGAATCCCATGTCCTACTTAAAAGAGTCCGGTTGCCTAGACCCCTTGGTTTTAAGGAGAACAGATCTTATGTTTTCACCATATTCTGGAAATAGTACAGGCTATTCTAGCACTCTCTCATGCCCTTGACTAATAGTCTGTCTGCCTAACTTCCCAGGTTCAACATTTTAATGAAAGACTTTTTGGTCCCTCACTACCATGGCAATTGTATTCAAGTTCTTCTCTCAAATCTTAAGAAGGATTTGAAGGATCTTGGGGGTATTTTTCAAATGTTTCTCATTTTAACCTCTGAGACCTCATTATATTTCTTATTATCTACTGATCTTTGTGATTACCAATTTTGGAATAATGGACTCAATTAAACTAAAGCTGGTCCCAATTATTCCTTTCTCAGTAGAGATACACTGTTGAAAGAAATAAGTAATTATTTTAAAATTTGAGTAAACTTATAATGAACTCTCTATGTTTCTTTTAAGTGTAGCTTGTTTGTCAGAGAGGTCTTGACTTCCCAAGATATCATTATGTTTCCAGGGTCCAGTCACTTGTGTAAAGAGATTGTAAAACCAAGAGTTAATGTTCAGTTTCTAAAATGAGCAAATGAAAACTAGAATACATTAATATGCCAAATGAGGTAGCAAAGTTATGAAAATGTTCCTGACTTTAAAGCCTCATTGGGTGTGTTCTGCACACTCTCATAGCCCTGCCACATGCTGGTGACTGAAATGTGCCTGTACTGATCAGTAGCCAAAGATGCTTTGGGGCCATTCAACATCTTGGAATATCCCCTCTTGTATCTTTTTTAAGATCTGTGAATTCAAGGTAAATTCTTGGCCCTTTGAGGAATTCCAAAACTCAGTTCCAATGCTAAGGCTATATAATTCAGTTTATGAGCTTATTAGTTCTAGAATTTCATTTGTTAGTATTTTTTTACAGTCTGTTTATATTTCAGAAATCAACTTTGGTTCCAATCTTCCAAATTTCTTTCCTTTTAAACTAGACCTCAGTCCGTACAAATTAATCCTGAATCTAATGAAACCAATTTATAATAAATAGGCCCATAAAACCCAGTTTAAATTGCTACAAGTTTTCATTGTAAGTTAGTTTAGCATGTGTATCAATTAGTATTTTCCAAGTATCAACCTGCTTCAGAATGTAGTGATTTTTATGCATTAGCAATTTGGCTGAGTTCCCTTGGCTCATTCTTTTGGGATCATCAGAGCTCTCATATGTGAATATTGCTGGTATTGAGGTATGTTCTTGGCCAATTCACCCCAAACAGCCTTAACCGAATATCACATGAATGACCAATCATCCATCATTAAAACCAAGTTAAAAAAAAAAAAGAAAAGAAAAAAGTGCATTAAAATATCTCAATGAGTGAAATTTTGACTGAAAAAAAAAAGTTAGGTATGGTAGGCTTCCCATGAAGCTGAGCTCTGGGGCAGTTAGATATAGTAAACATGATGGGTGAACCACTCAAGCATCTATTTGTATTATCTTTGTCTTTCTGTTAATTAACCAAACAAGTCATATGGCCATTTGCAGATTCAGGCAATGGAGACAGATTTTGCTGTTTGATGACAGGAATTATGAAATATATATATATATATGTATATATATATATTATTTTATATAACCAAGTCCATTTAAATGAAAACAAACATTTATAGACAATATTTGGGAATTTGGGTGTCGTTCTTTCCAAACTACTTCCTGCTGGTAAGGGGCACTGTCAAGGGGGATTCTAAGAAGATGCAGAAATCCTGGCTGTAGTCTGTAAGGCTGCTTTGTCCAGCTGTTTTGAATGTAGAATCACTTGGTACTCTGTTTCAGGCGGTCTGGCTTGATCAAACCACATTAGTCTGGAAGGAATCCACAGCTTTTCATTTTCTGTGGAAACAAAAATAGAAATCCTTTTCCCCAGTAACTTGACCTTGAACTTAAATTTTGGAGTCAAAGCATTTTTTTATTTAATTTATTATTTTACATGTCGATCCCAATTCTCTCTCCCTCCCTTCCTCCTCCCCTCCTTCCCTCCTTCCCTCCCTTTTACCCTCTCTGCCCTCTTACATGCACTCTAACCACCCTCCCTTCTCATCCCCCCACCCCAATTCCATATGTAGGGGAATGCCATCCGGTTGGGGTCATGTAGATCTGACAGGTCATGTGAAGTAGGGACTAGGGCTCCTCTCCTGTCTCTAGATTAAGGCAGTAATCCCTCCATGTGTTTGCAAGGACCTTTTGTGCACCAGGGAGACATCCTGGCTCCATTGTCTGAGGTCCCTTAGACTGCTCAGTCCTTCTGGCTGAGACCCATATTCAGGGGGGCGTGAGTCAGTCCCATGCTGGATTCCCAGCTATCAGTCTGGTGGCCTGTTAGCTTCTCCTTGTTCAGGTAACTATTAATATCCATCTTCTTTAGTTCATAACAACTTATTACATCTCTTTTCATAATGAATTTCCCCCAGAACCAATATTATACATAACTTGTCCCTATATATAGAAACATGCATGGAAAAAGAGTTGTTTAGTTTGTCTTTCAAATTCTTTGCCCTTGAAACTTAGGATCTATATGGTCTCTAGATTTTTTTTTTTCAGAGCAATAGGACAATTTGATGTTTTATTCCTGGCTCATTTAAGTGTTGCAAATACTTGTCATAAATAATTTTCAATAATTTATACATTAACCATTAAAAAAACCTGTGGAACGCTTTACGAATTTGTGAGTCATCCTTGTGCAGGGGCCATGTTAATCTTCTCTGTATGGTTCCAATTTTAGAATATGTGCTGCTGAAGCGAACACTGGTCTCTAGATTTTATGTACTTTTGGAGATAACATTTTATAAAATGTGTTTTAAAGTTATCTTCATCTATATTGGTTTTTATTTCTTATACTTATTTTTGTGTGGAGAAAATTGTAAGTTTTGAGGAACAAAATTTACTCTGTTTTGGCAATCTTCTTAGTCTAGAGCCACACACAGTGTTACTGACTGAACTACAGGTTACTCTGGCTGCATAGACAAGAATTTCCTAGCAATTATGCTTATATATTTGTTATATTTTCTTGTGACTCACTGTAGCTTTTTGTAGTTGTTTAAAAACAATTATTAGAACACAATAAATATTTAATAAATTTTTGCTGCCTCTTTGTGCATTGAATTTAAATACTCCTTTCTTCTGTGAATTTAATGTTCATGTCCTCTGGTGTTTGGTTAGAAAATAAAAGTTTAAGTGGGATTCTGTCTTCTCACATGTGGAAAATGTGAGTGCCATTACGCAGTGAATATCAACAGTTTAGTCTGCTGTCCATGCTACATCAAATAGGGAGATAGTACATCTTGCTGGTAAATTCAGAGCTGTCCACTAAGTTTTAGGTGATTTCAGACACTCATCCTTGATCACTCCAGTCATGAATAGCAGTTCAGTTTTACTTTCCATTCTTCTCTAGCCATATTGGCCATGAATGTGTTTCACTCTTTGGATAAAGAGACTGAGAGACTTTTCTGACAAGCATGTTAAGAAACAAGTTGAGGGCTAGCTTATTTTTCTTTCTCTCCATGGTATAAAGATGTGTTTCTAAACACATGTGCTAGTAAATTCTTAACTAATTTTGGGGGCTCTTGAAAAAGTAATTGATTGATGAAACAGGGGAATTAGTTTATTTATTTTAAAAACATTTCATGTCTACCTATAGTCATATATTATTAGCTACTTAATTATCTCCTCTGCTTTGGCTGAGTAAATATATGTGTGATTGTGTTTTTTGCTTCTGGTCACTCAAAATACTTTGCTCTGCTTTCTTTGTTATATTGCATATTCATGCTAAAATTTGCCTTTCTTTTCCAACTAACCATTATAAGCTGAAGGCAAGACTTGGGCTGCATTCTGGTTCTTTAATAACTGAAAATAAATCTGTTCTGTGGATACCATCAACAATTTCATTTCTCTAAGCACAAAAGGAACAGAGTGTATGGAGATTAAATTTTGTATAATAAAACCAAACCTCTGCAACACTGGTAAATTCAACCAACTGTGAACGAAATATATTTGCAAACAATTACATATGTCCTGGACACACAGTGATCTTTTATCATGGTCATTATTTCTTAAATAAGACAGTTTAACAACTTTAACATATTATTTGAATTGTCCTTGGTGCTCTAAGTAATTCAGCATGATTTAAATCATATGGGAAGATGTGAATATATGGAAACAAAATATCATTTAGTGTTAGAGACTTTATTGTCCACAGATTGGGTATCTGAGAGGAATCCTTGAAGTAAAATTTTGTGGCTAGAAACAGGGGGATGAATTTGGAATAAATTTGATTTTTTACAATAGCTGTTAGTCAGAAAATAACTGTATTCATTATTTGGCATGAGTTGTTTCATTTGATATTTGTTCCATTTCCAAGGACTAGAGGAGTATCCAGAGATGTGTACTCCTGCATTTAATTAGAGGAGACAAGAGTTGTCCAAATCTGTGTAATAAGTCCACTTACTTTTTTGTAAATATTTTTACCTTTTTTATGTGGAAACAAGTGACATAATGAAATGCCATTCTTGGTGCTCTTTGCCCAATTATATTGTTGGAAGTATTCACGCCAGAAGGGGAAATGTGTTCAGGAAGTTCAGGAAGGAAGCATGAAGGGACAAGGATTGAGGGGATTTTGACATTTTGTGATATTAAAATTTGCCAGGGCATAAGCTTGTCTCTGAACCTAACATAGTTGATGGGATTTTACATAAGTCTGTTCACATCAAGACATACTACATTCCAGAAGCAAAAGAAGACATTGTTTTCTTGGAGCAAGTTTTCTTCCCTGTGGCTGTCTTTCAGGGTTTTTAGGACTTCCAGGGTCATTAGGTTTTCCAGGGTTTGGTCTCTTTCCCCCATCACTGGAGGTCAGTGGTGTTCCTTTCCGACTTTCCCAGTGAACTTGAAGTATCAGAAACAATAGGTAAATCATGAGGGGAGAGGTTCTTAGCACAAAAATTCCACTCATTCATCACAGAATGGTTAGGAATTTCAAATGGCTTCTGAATTTTTCTTGGGAAATCATATACATACATACATGGTCAACAAATTAGAAAACCATTTATTTTGTCATCTACATCTTTTTGAAACTTCTAGATTTTAGGTAAGTAGAATCACCTACTTTAGGGTCTCTTGTTTTTGGGTACTTCCCATGAGCATGATATCTTTGATCTATTATATTGAGTCCATCAGCTGTTCTCATTTTACTGTTACATACTGTTTGGAGCAGAGATTCAGCAATTCTGCTTTATCCATTTGCTTCTTGATGGGTATCCAGTATAATTTGATAAATATGTGCTTCATTTTGACAGATATTCTATCTTGATGGATATTTGATCTATGTTGATAGTCTAATGGATATCTATTCCATATTGTCTGATAATTGGCTCATCTTGACAGTTACTGGTATCTCTGAAAAATATGTTTTGCCTTGATGGATGTTTGCTTGATATTGATGGATATCTGTTTCAATTTTATTTTTAAAAATTTTAAGTAATTATAATGTAGATATAACATATTTCAAAGTAGCTCTTCCCTCTATGAAAGGAATCAATGGTGAGGTTAGGAATAATAGCAGATACCATAATCTGATATCCATACATTTGAGCCTCCATTTTACCTTAAATACCTGTGGCATGCAATATATTTTGGAACTTCTTTATTAATTTTGTTTTGTGACATGTTCATTCATGCATAAATATGTAGAATGTATGAATTATCTCCCTTCTATTCTCTTCCATCCTTAACAGTTCCTTTCCTAGATGTATACAGTGCTTTTGTTTGGGAAGCATTTAATCTATTGGGCATACAACTGAACAGAATTCATGAATAATAAACAGTTCAGCAATGAGGAGTAGGTCCCTTCATCCATACCTAACTGTTGGTTGCTCATTCTCATGGAGGTATCTAAAGATGCTCTGCATCTGTACTTTCGATTGCTATGTCTTGCACAGAAGATGGCATTTTACAGTGCTTCTACCTATCATTTGGTTCTTACATTCTTTCTTCCCTCACTTCCCAAGTTCCCTGAGACTTAGAGAATATGATGTGTTTTCTTCTTTGGGATTGAACACTGTTTTTAGCACCTTGTGCAGCCATGATCCATTTTGACAGATAGCTGGTTCTTGTTGATGGATATCTGGTCTATCTTGATGGATGAATCATTCTCTTTGATGGATATCTAGTTTATCTTGCTTTAATGTATTTTCCCTAGTAAATCTTGTTCTTTGTACATTTTCTAATTGCTTATTGCTCAATCTAAATTCATTTATACTCTGATATTTATTGTATGACTTGGATGTAGCATTCTTTATACTTAAGGAGAACCAATGTACAATTCAGAGTTTATGTATGATGAACATATGTAAGTAGATGTATGTCCTTTAAAAAGTTAATTGGAAAGAGATTCTTTCCTAAAGGAAATTAAGTTCAAGTATTCATACTTCTTTTCTTTTTTTGAGAGGCTATTTTTTTTTCTCATTTTGTCATTTTGATGGCAGCATTGATGATTCCTGTAGATATATATAGTGACACACAGGTACACATATAACTCTCCAATGAAGCACTTATTTGTATATATAAAAAAGCATAAATGACACTTAGAAGGATTTAGATTATAGAAGTTGATAACTGAAATAAAATATTTATTACTTACCAAAAGCTTAAACTCTTTGAGACTTAAGTATTTTTACATGATAATCAACTTAAATACAGGTTGCATTCAAGAATAACATACATGGATGCCAGTTTATGAAGACCAATTTTAATCTGCCAAATTTTGTATGAGTATTAAAGCAAGAAGCAATATAGGTTTAAAGAGTTGACCTTGTACCTTTGACTTGAAACCCTTAGATGTAGTATCTTGAATCTAAAACTAATGCCTATATACACTTAAAGCTTTAGCTCCCATCCCCCCTCCTGCTCTCTCTTCTTTCCCTGTGGTGTTTTTACTCTTTTGCTTTGCACCTGCATTTGCAGTTCTTTCTGTCTTCCTTCCCATGTTAGTCTCCCCTTTTACTTCCTCCATGTTTTCATGGCTCACCAACTCCTTCTTCCTCTTTCTCTTTCTTACTCTCTCCAACCCTCTTCACCTCTAGCCAAAAAGATCTTTTTGGGCATGCTTGAAGACCCAAAAATAATCTATTTGTCCAGTTCTGTATCTTGACATTTTTCCTGTGAGTATTTGCTCTTTTTACATAGAAATCTCAACAATGCTGCCAGAGCTAGTTCTGTATCCTATATCCTGGCAGAACTCCTAGAATTAATCCTGGTGGGTTGTCTGTTTTAGAAGCTGCCTTAAGATCTTTGTAGTAGTCTTCAGACTGCTGTCCAAAGAGAACTCTAGTTAAATCCATATCCTTAAAATGTTTGCCAAGATGTTTGCTACTTAATCACTGTAATAGTTATTTATATAAAATAAAGATGTCTCTGTGCGTATGTGAGTGTGTGCATGCAAGTGTCTGTGTGTAAAACAGGACACACATCTTCACATCATGAAAGAGGTAATGAAGCCCCACAAAGCTGCTCCTCTTCTACTTCAATAACAGTGTTCTCCTCTTCCTCCTAGTTTGACTGCACTGTGTGAGGCTCCAGGGATTCTATTTCATTCCATTTCATGCTAAACTAATCACAGTAGTCTTTATCGCAGTCATAATGATATAACAATTAGACAGTTGGACTTGTGCTTCCAAACAGAGGTTTACTCCCCAGTGAAGTAGTTAGTATACACTAAATGCATTTTTTCATTTGTTTTTGAAATCATGAAGT